AGTCGTGTTGGTCATATTCTTATCGTTAGTTGTGTTGGTCATATTCTTATCGTTAAGAGTCGTGTTGGTCATATTCTTATCGTTAGAGTCATGTTGGTCATATTCTTATCGTTAGTCATGTTGGTCATATTTTTATAGCTAAGAGTCGTGTTGGTCATATTCTTATCGTTAGAGTCGTTTTGGTCATATTCTTATCGTTAGAATCATGTTGGTCATATTTTTATAGTTAAGTCATGCTGGTCAATCTTTAAATATTATTGTTTGATGTATTGTAAGACATCATGTGTTACAAAATAATAATCAGCAACTTCCACATTAAATTTGAGCTCAATAAGCTGTAAAATTCACTGAGTTAAAGCCATTTTTGTGTTTGCTACGTTCATTTAGCTTTGGCAGCCATCTTAATCAGAGGGTGACTCCAAAAGTTAAACGGTCATAGACGTACCTTTACTAATTACTTTCTGAAAATTTGATTTAAAAAAAAACATCTGGTGGTTTAGAAGATATTTTGCTAAGACAAAAAGGTCATAGACATAAAACAAAGGTCACCTGCCTTTCAGCAATCGTTAGTCCAATTCAGCAGATGAACTGAGACCAGATGACCCGGACAGATTAGCGGGTCATCTAACAGAGCCAATCAGTTCAAAACTCATCAAATGTTTGTTGGTTGTTTAACAAACCTGAGCTCTAAATACGCAGGCACACAGAAAAACTACTTTTAAATCCAGTATATGCTTTTTGTACCAGTTTGTTTTACATCTTAGATCCAGTGCAGACCTTTGACTGGTGGGACAGTTCCCCCAGAACCTCCCCCAGAACAGGATTCAAAGTTTCAGGATTAAAACCAGTTTTCTCATGGCCATGGTTAATGTGTCCTAAGGACAAAAACTGTTTTCAGAATGAGTGAATGTTGCTGCTTATCATGTGTGTTGGTTGACCAGACTGAGAAAAGGTCAACAATGGAAGGGTTAGGATGAAGAAGTCAGAACATTCTGCAGACTCACTCGTTTTCACCCCAACATCTCTGAGGTTCTTGTTGCTCATCTCATCCCACCATATTTGTTGACCTGTGCAGACTACGCCCAGCCTAATGTGGTCTTTCATGTTACTGCATCTTCATGTAGCTGTCGGTTGAACCAGCAGAGCACTGCATCCACACTCCAGAGACCCACATGTGATTTGGGACCCATATCTCAGAACTGTATCTCTGGAGTGAACTCTTTCAGACAGCACTGTCAGGAGAACCGTTTTATGTTTGACTCGCATCACGTCTCAGAGTAAGATTTATCTCTCCTGAGTCTGAACTGATCCAACCAGCTTCATTCAAAAGAACTGCGTTTTCTAAAAAGAAAGTTAGGATTCAGCTGGACCCTTACAGTCAGAGGATGTTTTCTGTCATAAACCACTAGATGGGGGTGCTGCAACAATAAACAACTTGTTTTGACCAGGAAAGAATTAAGAATGGTTTAAACTATCATGTGAGAGGAAAAATCTGTAGAGCTACACCTCCAATCTGCATGTGGAAATAACTGAGACTTCCTGTTTGGACACATCCACTCCTTCTCACAGTCAACAGGCTCAGGGTCCCACATTATTATCCAACCCTAACAATAAAAACTGTGCACAACCGGCCAGTCCAGAAGCATGCTTTCATCACGGCTCACACACCTCAGGTCATGGAACCAGTCAGCATGTGTTCTGTGTTCCAGCAGGAGAAGACATCTAACCCAACCCTCTCTGCAGCCTCTACCACCAGTCTACAGTCAGACTGGACTCTGGAATAGAAAGATTTATCTGTGAACGTGATCCAAACTAGGAATAGATGGGAGTGAATCAGTTCTGTCTGTCAAACATGTTTCATGTGGACATATAATCCAGATTACCTGAGAATAAACTCTTGATTGTGAAACACCCTGAAGTGAGGCCAGACGCACACCCTCAGGCCTCTTCTTTGACTAAATGATGTTCTTGTTGCCGTTCTCTGACACGGGTCCTCTCGTGACCTGACAGTGTAAACATAATCCTGAATAGTGCACAACACAGTAACACAGTTTGGGCTTCTATGGAAACAAGCATGTTTCTTTCTTCATGACATCTACATGTAGTTTAGAGCTTATTCATACTGTGAACACAGTTTAATCTGAAATAAACTCAGTTTAAACCCCCCCCCCCAGCCGTAGAGCTCCGTTCTTCCCTCTGATGCACAAAATACCTGAAATCCTTCCTGCAAACAGCTCAGACCCTGCAGGACAGAACGATGAGGGGGCGTCTTTGTGTCCGTGGATATGAAGGGACAGAGTTGCTGTCATGCAGTGATAGAAGGGGGGTGTGGGGGGGTTAGCACAGAGAGACGGACGTGTTTGTTGGGGGGACAGTCAGGTGTGGGGTGGTCCCTCTACTAGAGTCTAGCTGGTGTCGGGGCTGTCTGTCTGACCCTCTGCAGTCTCTGAGGGCTCCTCTGGGGGGTCGTCTGTGCTGGTGCTCGTGGACACCTGAGTGGGGACACCGTGAAACGAGCCAGCCCCGTGGGGCTCGAAGGAAGACGGGGCCTCCAAGTTGTCCTCGTCCTCCACCTCTGAGGGTGGAGCGAGGTGCATGGAGCCGGGAAGTTTGACGGGGCAGAAGGCGGAGCCTGTCGGGATGAAGTTGACCTTGTTTTTGTCGGGACAGGAGAAGAGGGGGGCGGACGCTGACGCCACCTGCCTGGAGCTGTGGAGAGACAGGAGACGAGTCTGAGGACGTCCTGATGCAGCAAAGAGCTGGAATTAAACAGCTGTTACCTCATTTCCTCAAACACTTTAACCTTCTCACATCCCTCTGGAGGCTCTCGCTTGAACATGTAGCTGTTGTTGGGTTTGGGTGAGGAGGCGAACTTAGGAAGGGGGGAGCTGCTTCCGCTGTCTGAACACAAACAAACTGGGTGGGCTCAGGGGACAAAACGTACTAACACATTTATAAACACCACCGATGGGTGATTATGTCCAAAGAACTTCAGCAGGAGTCTGAAGTTGTAGCATAACACAGGAACTGATCCGTTTCTTAGAGTACTTATAATTTTTTCATTTATTCTATTAATTACACTAAAATTTTAAGCTGACAGAAAAAAAACTCCAAACTTTCTGAACTCACAGCAAGTTGAGTTTACACACACACACCTTATAAAAGGTCTCCTGTATCTGAAGAAGTGTTTTGGCACATTTTTTAAATTCTTACCCTTATCTCGGTCGTACAGCAGATCCTCTGTGGAGTAGGGGCTGCCATCATGTGATCCTGGAGGGCAGGCTGGTGAGGGACATGGGGACAGGCTGGAGCAGCTGCTGGACCGCCCGGGGGCTAACGGAGTCTGAGGGTCCACACTGTGGGAACTGCTGCTGCGCTGCTGTGGAGGGAAGGGTGCCCGGCGTCCATCAGGGACCTCCAAGGACTGTATAGGACCAGAAGAACAGAGTTTTAATGAGGCTTGAGATGAAGGGAGTCGACCGACTGGAAGGAGAGAGGAGGTCCACCTTTAGCTCCTCCTTGTCTCCACTGTCTTTAATGAAGACTTTCTCCAGCTCATGATTGATGCCCTCCATGCTGCTGGGGACCCTGGAGATGGAGGCCTTCGGCACGGTGATGTTGGACAGTGGCATCTGAGCAGACTTCGACATGGAAACCTACTGCAGCGTGTATGCAAACACCCACCCACACACACACACACACACACACACAGAGATTTGTCTTTCGATCTTTACAGGGACTTTGCATTGACTTTCATTCATTTTTCATTCATTTCTATAGCCTAACCCTGACCCATACCTAACCATTACCAGTACATAACTAATCCTAACCATTACTAGTACTTACCTAACCCTAAAACTAACCATTACCAGTACTTACCTAACCCTAACCATTACCAGTACATACCTAACCCTAACCATTACTAGTACTTACATAACCTTAAACCTGACCCATCCTAAATTTACAGTTCAGTCCTAAACCGAACCCCTAACCCACCAATGGTACTGCTCCTTGTAGGGGCCCGGGCTTTAGGCCCCATAAGGAGCAGTTGGTCCTCACAGTGTATAATAAGTTGGAAAAATGGGCCTTGCAAGATACCATAAACAAAGACACACACAAACATGTTTACACCATTATTTAAAACTTTAAATGTGTTTTTTTTTTTTCAAATCTAAACAAACGATTGAATTGTTTTGTTTTCCAGATGTTCTCCTGTAGATGTGCTGCTGCTGTGTTTCAGGTCTTTGTTCTGCAGTTTGGTACCAGCGGTCTAACAAAGAACCTGACAAGACTTTGGTCTACAGAGGTGTTCATGTCCACTCAGTGGCTGCAGGGTGCCAGTCCTTCAGCTGCAAAACAAGCCTAAACCATCAGCCCTCCACCCCCATGCTCCACATTATGAGGTGTTTGAGTAGGGCTGTTACAGATGTCACTGATTACAAACATCTCTTGATATGACTAGGTTTTAAATTCTTAAATATTTTGACTGAAATCGGTGTTTCTGCTCAGCGTTTGTGTCTCTGCCTCTTAAGACAAGCTCTGGTCAGATTTTCCAGAGTTTTAAACCATGAAGGACGATAACGCAGAGTCCGCAGCTGCAGAAGTGGGACCGAGATGGTGTAGAGGCAGGGCAGCCAACTCAGGACCCAAAGGTCCCAGGTTTGATCCCCAGTCATTTCACATCTCGTGGTGTCTCTGAGCAGGACACCTTATCCCCAGTTGCTCCCCAGGCACTTTCCATAGCTGCCCACTGCTCCACCTGGTGGTGGATGGGTTAAATGCAGAGAGCCAATTTTGTCATTGTATGAGAACATACAATGATGACAAGTATACATATTATTAAGTGTCAATATAAAGAGAGTTGTACCAAGTTTTCAAAGGACAAAAGCATCTACCATCTGGGAATGCTTCAAGCTAACAACATGTGTACGTTCAGCAGGGATACTTTGTCTTGCTACAGCTAAAAGGAGACACACTGAGCCACGACACATGAAAAACAACAAAATACACATCTCACTGAAGGAACACAACCAGTACAGCTGCTGCGTGATGTCAAAAACTAAATGAACACTCGAGTCAGACAAGATGGTAGTAGTACATGCAGTTCCATCCATCCATTGTCTTCTGCTTGTTCTGAAATCAGGTCTCGAGAGCAGCAGGGAGGCCCAGACATCTCTTTCCACAGCCACCTCTTCCAGCTCTTCTGGGAGGATTCCAAGGTGTTCCCAGACCAACCGAGAGACATAGTCTCTCCTGCGTGTCCTGGGTCTTCCCAGGGGGGGTCTCCTCCCAGTCAGACATGCCTGAAGCATCTCCCTAGGGAGGCACCAGGAAACATGCTTACCAGATGCCTGAACCACATCAACTGGCTCCTCTCGATGTGGAGGAGCAACAGTTCTACTCTGAGTCTCTCCTGGATAACTGAACTTCTCACCGTATCTCTAAGGGAGAACTACCCTGTGGAGGAAACTCATTTCAACCACCTGTATCCATGATCTCATTCTTTCAGTTTCAAGGGCGGCTGTGGCTGAGTAGTTAGAGCAGTCGTCCTCCAATGCAAGAGCTCAGGATTCAAATCCACCAGCTGTTACATGCTGGTGTCCCTAGGCAAGACAATGAACCCCTCATCGCCTCCCATGTGTGTCCCATTGGTGTATGAATATGATCTAAAGCACTGATGAGTCTCTTTATAGATCTAGTAGAGTGCTGTATGAATGGGTAAATGAGAATACAGATTGTAGTGTAAAGAGCTTTGAGTGTCTTGATTAGATCGAAAGGTGCTATACAAGTACAGTCCATTTACCATTTCAGTCACAACCCAGAGCTCGTGACCATAGGTGAGTGTAGGAACATAGACTAATCGGTAAACAGAGAGCTTTGTCTTACAGCTCAGCTCCCTCTACACCACAACAGACCGGTACAGAGTCCTCAATACTGCAGACACTGCACCAGTCCATCTGTCAATCTCATGCTCCATTCTTCCCTCACTCGTGAACAAAACCCCAGAGATACTTGAACTTCTTCACTTGAAGCAGAACCTCACCCTTGACCTGAAGGGAGCAACTGCAAGAGTACATTGAAGTTAAATATAATTCATGTAAGATGTTAAAAGTGAGATCTAAGTTTTAAGAACATTTGAATGTTCCAGTCTATTTTAATGATTGTCTGTCTCTTTCTGAAAACAAAGCCATGTGACTGAGTCCCTGTAAAACAAGCATTTCACTGCACGTCTTTACCTTGCATCTAAAATATTAAAACTTTTGTTTTTTAAAGAAGACATTTTCAGAGCTCCATTTGTTTTATTTGGCACTGGTCCAAAAGACCTGAAAAACAAAAGTCCTGTGGCTCATTTAGATAAAACTTTGCACATTAGAAGTCTTTATATTTTGGAAATAAGCTTTCTCCTGGAAACTCTCCTGAACCGGTCTTCTTGTTGTCCAGTCATAAATCTGAACATGGTGAGTCTGAAACGTAATTCTGGGATTTTTCAGTTCTTCTGAGAATTGCTCAAACCTTGAGGAGGAACTGCTGGAACATCCAGTCCTGGTAAGATTATAAGCTACCTTAAAGGGTTTTCTCTGTGAAGAAGCTTTCTCACTGCACAATGGTGGACTACAGTTTTCAGATGGTCTTAGAAGACTTCCTAGATTTATTGCCACAACAGCAGATTCGCTCCGGCTTTTGGCTGGTGTGTGTGTGTGTGTGTGTGTGTGTGCGTGCGTGCGTGTGAATTCATTAAATGTCTCAGAAAATGAACAAACTTGTTTATAAAGCTCATTGACGGACGTCTGTACGTTTATTATGACTGCATGCTCTGAAACTCAATATGAGCTCTTTTTAAGATCAAATGTATTTCAAGGCCCGCTCACTGAATGAAAAGCCTGCTGCAACATTAAAGTCATTAGGAAAGTTTTAAAAACTGTGCACGTCACATCAAATGATCTAGGATAGAGTCATTTAAACACCAGTCTGACACTAAAAGTCCATTCTCTAAACAAATGTAACAGAATCACCACACTCCTCCATTTTTTTTCCTACTTTGGGGAAACAAAGACAACCTTCAAATCAAATAAATGTTTGCAGCTGTTCATTATTTTGTTGTGTTAAAATATCGTAAAATGAAGCGTTACTGTATGCGTTTTGAAAGTGTGTACTGACCTTACAGCACAGAGACTTGTGTGTTGAAGCAGGACAGAAAGCAGAATCTGAGATGTCTGCTCTCACAGTTCAGCTCGATCTGAAGGAGAGAAGCGACATTAAACTTACACATTCAATCATTTATTGGAGGAAATGCATAAAAACCACAGTGGTCTCAATATAATTGTATGTTTTTATAACAGCACACAATGTAAAGGAATTTGTGTTTGGCTGATTATTTTCTGTTGTGAACCCTGCAGTAAGTCTTGCGTCATTGAAAGCCTGTTTATTTCTTCTTAAATGCTGCCAGAACATTTGTGGGTTGAGAAGCTGAGAGGTTTCATGGGTTATGCTGAAGAAAAACTTCACAAATCTTCTCTGGCAGTTCCAAACAGCTTTTAGGGCTTTTGACTGTTGTTTGAGGCTTCTAGTACCGCAGGGTGCTGATAATCAGAAACCTGATAGTTAGCACCTGCTGGTTATTCATATCTGCACCGTCTGGGATCAAACTAACGTCCAATAAGAAACTCATCGGCATTACTAATGGATCAATTGCTAACAGCAACGAGCGCCTCTCAGGACAAATAATCTCATACGCACAAACATTTATACATACATAAGACACCAGAATATACATACAGTATATACACACAAATATACATATATACAAATATATACATATTTACATATATACATGCTATTTATACATATACGCGCATACTGCATGCATGCACGCACGCATGTATGCATACATACACAAACACACACACGTATGTATGTATACACACACACACATATGTACACACACACACATACACACGCATACACACACACACACACACACACACACACATACATATATATATATAGATATATAGATAGAGATAGATAGAGAGAGAGAGAGAGATAGAGATAGAGATAGAGATAGAGAGAGAGAGAGAGAGAGATGTGTATAGCTGGTTGTGCAAGAATAACCTTCACATCAATGTGAATAAGACAAAGGAGATGATCGTGGACTTCAGAAGGAACAAACACACCTGGCTATACCCCTTTAAAAGGATCTGCGGTGGAAGTGGTCTCCAGCTACAAGTACTTGGATGTGCACATGAATGACAACCTCAGCTGGAGCAACAACACCACCAGCCTGATCAAGAAAGCTCAGAGACTCTACTTCCTCGGGCGACTGAGACGAGCTGGTCTGGGAAGCTCAGTCCTCACCTCCTTCTACAGGTGTGCAGTGGAGAGCATCCTGTGCTCCAGCATCAACGTGTGGCATGGAGGCTGCACAGCTGCAGAAAGAAAAGCTTTGTAGAAAGTGGTGAAGGCTGCACAGAAGACTGTTGGAGTCAGTCTCCCCACCATTACAGACATCTACTCCTCTAGATGCAAGAAGAGGGCCACCTGCATCATGAAGGACCCCACTCACCCAGCACACACACTTTTTGCCCCGCTCCTCTCAGGAAGGAGGTTAAGGAGCATTAAGTGTAGAACCACTAGACTGAGGAACAGCTTCTACCCTGAGGCTGTTAGACTCATGAATCTCTAACCAGAATAATCATTGTGAAAAATCACATTATGTTGCTGCTGATCTGTTTCATGTTGCTGCTGATCTGTTTCATGTTGCTGCTGATCTGTTTCATGTTGATGTGTTCATGCATGCTCATCTGCTCACAAAGACTCATGTTCGTGCTGCTGTTCTAATCTAAGATTATTATCTGATAAGGATAAAATGGCCGCGCTCTCCTGTAGTTGCAGCTTCGTGCACTCCGCCCATCTTTCGGACGACTGCACGTACATATTCGATTTGTACCTCGGTGCAATTCCAATAAAGTTTATTCTGATTCTGTTCGACGTATAGTTTTAATACTATGAGTGCTTAGTGTATTTTTAGTTGATGTTTTTCTTAGTTCATATCTTAGATGTTATTACCGTTTTATTTTACATTTTATTGTTGGATGTAACTGGGACCCTGTGTACATCATTACATTCCACCCACATGTACCACATGAGGTGCGAACAACAAAGAAACTCTGACTCTGATTCCAATATGTACACATACATACATATACATACATATATATATATATATATATATATAAACACATTTTTCTTCTTCTTTCAGCTGCTCCTTTCATCAAGGGTCACCACAGTGAACAAACTCACGCGAAGACTTGGCAATTGTTTTTACGCCGGATGCCCTTCCTGACTCAACCACAGACACGGAGCTACCACAGCCCTCTGTGTGGAGCAGAGAGCTGCTATCTAGGGTGCCCGGGTGAAGAGGTAGTGGGGGTTAAGGGCCTTGCTCAAGGGCCCAGAGTGGGGCAAACGAGGGTGAAGGCAGGTGTGGGTGCTTCATATTTCCCACCCACATTTTGATGTTGTCAGTACCGGAAGTTGAATTGGCGACCTTCCGATCACATGCCCACCTTCTCTAACCTGTGCACCACCACTTGCTACATATATAGTAGTCCCTCGTTTATCGCTGGGGCTCTGTACCCTGAAAAACTGCAAAGTAGGAATAGTAGTACAAGCAGTAAGTAGTCGTTATACAGGCAGGGGCAGATAAAATAAATTTTCCAGGTTATCCAGTGGACAACCTCTTGACAGAATCCGATTGTCCACAACCTTTACAATAAGGCAGGCAAAAAATCTCAAGAACAATTTAATTTAATAACTATATTGCACTACAAAGTTTACTGTATACCAAGAAGTGATTTAAAGATGAAAATGTACCAATGAGAGTCTGCGTGACGTTAATGATGTCCAGTTAACCAGTGAATACAGGGTGCAGTGGTGGGTATGATAGTTACAGTCAGTTATGAATCTTAGTGCACCATGATAGACAGCATCCAACATCTGCAGGGTTCTTGTAGGAGCGTTCATGTAAATACCCGGTAATAACACCATAGTCAATGGCGGGAAGGAAGGTCACAGATACAAGGCGTTTTCTAGCATTCAGAGTTAGACAGGATCCGTTTCTGAAAAAGAAACCCAGTTTAACTTTCAGTTTCTTTACCAAGTTTTCCACGTGAAGCTTAAAAGAGAGATGCGAGTCGACCAAGATACCCAAACATTTATAGGAATCAACAAACTCAATAGGGACACCATTTGAGGATAAAATCAGAGGAAGAACTGCTGGGACCGACTTCCTGTTTGAAAAAGCATCCCTTTGGTTTTGTCGGCATTTAATACAAGTTTGAGGTGGAACAAATCTGACTGGATGATGTCAAAAGCGAATTGCTAAAGCTGGAAAGCCTCAGCAACTGTTGTAGCTCAGCAATAAACAACTGTCATCAGCATAGAACTGTATGGATGCATCAGGGATGCTCTGACCTACATTACCTATATAGATTGTAAAGAGGGTGAGTCCTAAGACTGAGCCTTGTGGTACACCATTGTTGACTGTTAAATAACTGGAGGAAGTACCATTATGTTGAACACATTGCCTCCGATCTGAGAGATAATTAGAGAACCAACCAATGGTGTGTTCTGAGAAACCAATTTCTGAGAGTTTATGACACAAGATGTTCTGATCCACAGTGTCAAAAGCTTTAGACAGGTCTAAGAAAAGTGCAGCACAATAATCCTTAGCATCCAGTGCTTCAACAACGTCATTAAGAACCTTCAGTGAAGCAGTGGTTGTGCTGTGTTGTTTCCTGAAACCAGATTGATGTGGAGGTAAGATGTTAAATGAGTCCAGGTAATCTTTGATTTGAGAGTTTATCAGTTTTTCTAGAACCTTGGCTAAAATGCAGAGTTTAGAGATTGGTCGATAGTTGTTCAGTGAGGTGGGGTCTCCTCCCTTCAGCAAAGGATGAACAAAGGATGTTTTCCAAGCATCTGGAATAGTTTTGGCTTATGGAGAGATTGAAGATGTGGGTCACAGGGACTGTGATGATGTTAAGAAATAAGATGGAAGTTCATTTGGACCTGCAGATTTTTTAGGATCAAGATCTTTTAACAGTTTAATGACCTCACTGACTGAGAATGGAGAAAAAGAGAAGCTGTGATTAACTGAGGATTGACTTGTAGGAGGGATTTGATTTGTAGAAGTTTGGTTATTAAATGAAGTGGCTGATTCTCCATTTGTAACTGTGTCAAATAAAGAACTAGAAGCAACAAAATGTTTGTTGAAACAGATCAGGATCTCGTGCTTGTTTGACACAGGAACAGAGTTAACGAGAAGTTGTGATGGGAGGTCAGATGATTGGGGGGTGCCTGAGAGAGATTTGGTTTTTCAGAATCTGTTAGGGTCATTTAGATTTTTTTTTGATTTTTTAACATAAAACATTCAAAGTCCTGTTTTATTTAACATGGGTACCTCTGAGATTTGATATAATTATAAGGTTTTCTATAATAATGATAAGGTTGGTATTAATGTGACAATGTCATATTTGATAGAATATAAAAAAATGTTTGAATAGAACAATGAGCAATTAGGTCAAACTTTTTTTTAAACCATTTTAAAAGGGGTATTCTGTTTTTAGCTGATAAATGAGCTAGTATGAGTCTGGACTGACAGTCAGGCTCAACAGTCCTGTCAAGAAAAGGACATTCTGCTGCCATCTGTTTAAAAACGAGCCTTCATCTCTACAGGCTGCTGAACTCTGCAGTACAAATACAAAGCCCAAGTGGGTGGTGCTCACCTGCATCAATTTTCCTTTCATACAAGATGTGTGACCCTCATGGGAGTCACGCCAGCCCAGTCGGGTACGGACCACTGACCGTGCCCAAAGATGAAGACAACCCACTGCCCCCCAGCTCCACACCAGGCGAGACTCTTTCAACTGCAAAGATTAAAAGATCAAAGCAGCATTAGCTCAGGAACACAGAAGAAAATGTCTCATCCAAAAGGAAAATGACTTTCAACTTGTTTTCTTAAACTTTACAGCTGTTGTTTTTTGTTAATCTATTTCAAACTTTGGATAAAAAACACTCAAGGAAATCAACCCATCTTTACAAAATCATTTTTTTTAAAGCTACAGAGAATATTATTAAACAACAGAATCATTAGCATTGTGTTGTATAGCAGTATGAAAGTTTCCTGTGCATGTGAAGCTCTGCGGCTCAGTCCTCCTACATGTTGGACAAGTTATGGGGCCAAGATGGTGAAGAGCATGTGTGTCAAACTCAAGGCCCGGGGACCAAATGTGGCCCTCGATGACATCTTATCTGGCCCTCAAGATGATATTTTAAACGTAAAAAACTTTTATCACTTTAATTTTTTCAGTAATCTTTGATGTCAAATGCGCAACAGAGAACATCAAATGAGACCAGTCAAACTCTTGTTGAGGAACCTGCAACCAAGAAAAGATGTTTGTTCTCTAACTTGAGTTGATGTGGATTCTGAAACTGGCCCTTAGTTTGAAAAGTTCATGCACAGTTTACCGTGTGCATGTCCTCAATAAAGTACACAGTATACTATGTACATGACCTCAATAAAGTACACAGTATACAGTGTGCATGTCCTCAATAAAAGTACACAGTATACTGTGTGCATGATCTCAGTAAAAGTACACAGTACAGTGTATACATGACCTCAGTAAAAGTACACAGTATACAGTGTGCATGTCCTCAATAAAGTACACAGTATACTGTGTGCATGGCCCCAGTAAAAGTACAGTTTACTGTGTGCATGCCTTAGGAAAAGAAATGTGTACATGACCTCTGTAAAAGTACACAGTATACTGTGTACATGAACTTAGTAAATGTACACAGTATAGTGTGTACATGACCTCAGTAAAAGTATGCAATATACTGTGTACATGACTTAAAAGTACACAGTATACTACTGTGTACATGACCTTAATAAAATTACACAGTATACTGTGTACATGACATTATTAAAAATACACATAAAGTATACATGACCTTAGTAAAAGTATACAGTATACTGTGTACATGACCTCAGTCAAAGTACACAGTATACTGTGTACAAGACCTCAGTAAAAGTACACGGTACAGTGTATACATGACCTCAGTAAAAGTACACAGTATACTGTGTACATGACCTCAGTAAAAGTACAGTATACTGTGTACATGACCTTAGTAAAAGTACACAGTATACTTTGTACATGACCTCAATAAGAGTATGCAGTATATTGTGTACATGACCTCAGTAAATGTACACAGTATACTGTGTACATGACCTCAGTAAAAGTACACAGTATACTGTGTACATGACCTCAGTAAAAGTACACAGTATACTGTGTACATGACCTCAGTAAAAGTACACAGTATACTGTGTACATGACCTCAGTAAATTACACAATATGCTGTGTAAATAAACTTAGTAAATGTACACAGTATAGTGTATATATGACCTTGGTAAATGTATGCAGTATACTGTGTAAATAAACTTTGTAAATGTATGCAGCATACTGTGTACATGACCTTAGTAAAAGTACACAGTATAGTGTGTAGAAGAGCTTAGTATAAGTATACATTATACTGTTTTCTAATAAAGTACCATCAGGACCAACATCATTCTGAAGGAAGAGACGTCTGAACAACTTTTCTGTCATTTCAGTGTTTTTAATTGAGGGTTTATTGGGGGGGGGGGGGTGTTTATAAATACTCATCTTTTACCATTACTTTTGTTTAATTACAGGAAGTGAAGCAGCAGGCGCAGCCTCCTCTCTCACCATCAGAGACACTCTGGCTCCCGCACCGCTCTTTCTCTCTCTGACCCTGGACTTGGTCACATGTGCACGTTGCACATTTCTGTCAAATAAGGACGACGCTCCCAATACATTAACATTTAATACAAAGATAGACTTCAGAAACTAAAGTCCTGGGGAGGTCGAGGCCAGGGGGTGGGGGTGATGGTGTATCAGTTCTGGTATCTCCCCGGCTGCTGTGAACATTTAGTAATTTATTACGTCATCTCCTTTGGTAGCGGGGTGTCCTCCTTGGAAACAGTCCAGGAGACACTCTCACCTGCAGTTAGTAACTGTGCACACCTGCCATGTCTCAGACAGCATGACCCGACCTGCTCTGCTCTGACTGGGTCCAACTGTGGTTCAGTGTCAGTTTAATCTCCGTATCATCATTAAATCGGGCGGCTTTAAATGGACCACAGCAAACCCCCAGTCCATTCGGCCAGTGGAGTTTTTGTCCATTCGGCTGCAGCTCCTTCCGGTTGGAAAGGTCCAGCTTGAGTCCATCATCTGATGACAAAACGTTCTTTCACACGTTTGGTAAAAACATCCAAACCTTATTGTTTTTTTTGTTTTTTTTTTCTATAAGCAGTGGCTTTTCCTGCCACTCTTCCATTAAGACCAGCTCTGAGGAGCTTCTAGTAGACAAACAGTCCCATCTCTGCAGAAGAGCTGCTCAGTTCCATCATGGCCTCCTTACCTATGATTATTGGTGGAGGACTCTCATGGCAGGTTTACTGTAGTTGTATCATCTTTCTATTTTCTAATAATGGCTTACACAGAGCTACGTGGTGTTCAGGATTTTACACATTTTTTAGAAGCCGACCCTCATTTGTCCTTCAACATAACTTTATCTGAGCTGTGTTGAGAATCTCCGTTTATATTCTAGGGGCTGTCAGAACTGGTAGATATTTACTGAGATCATTTGACACTTATATCATCTACATGTGGCTCTTATTTAACGATTAATGTGCCTTCTGAAGGTAATGACTGGGGCTTTGAAGCAAAGGGGGTGAATACACGCACACATCACCTGGTTAGTTTTGTATTTTTAGGATGGAGTATTTTTGTATCATGTATAATTCAATTAAAACTCCCCATTACAATTCCACACTGTGAGGGAGCAAAGTAGAAAAATGACTGGATGCAAGAATAAAGGCCATCAGATTTCTTTAGACACATACTTATTCTATCTAGGAATAATAAGAATACACTTGGTAGTATTTATATGTGCGTGCATGTAGTTCAGGTTCTGGCCTGCTTCCACAGAGGGCTCTGTTTATGTCTGAGTGGCTGCTAGGCCCAAATGTTACCACAGGAGCCACAAACCTTTGGTAACTAGCTACATTTAATTTTCTTTTTGTTTGTTTGTTTCAGTATTAGTAACAAACCAAATTGAACATTAATTTCTTGAGTCCAGCAGCTGATGGTGAGCATGCACCTTCATGTCTCCATGATAATCAGCTGCATCATTACTTCAGATGTTTACATCATCACTGGCAGGAGACAAACATGTCTTTTCTGTTCCATTTGCTAATGTCATTGATCTGAACGAACAAAGCTGTGGTGCACTAACTAATACTGATAATATGTTTGAAATAAAATAAAATACAGCCATGGTTGACGCGTAGCCTCCTAGCAGCCATATTAATATGTGTTGTGACCTAATTAGACAGCTAGCCTAGCTGCTACAGCGCAGCCTGACAGCGGCCGCGAACTTCCTATTAAAATCTACGCAATTTTAAGTTGACTGTACCAGAACGACAGCTAAACTACTTTATAATCAATTCATCCAACTCAGCTTACATACTGGCAGCCAGTTTAACAATTCGGCTGTGTTTTGATGGATGCAGACCCGCAAACAAATGGATTAGAAGGCAGAATGTGGACTTGCTCCGCAGATCGTTTCCATTAGCTCGACTCACCAAAACACAACGTGGCGCTTGAGGGCGAATGAGAGAAATGTAGTTAAACTTCTTCTTTTATAGCTGCACGTTCGTATATGTTGGAGCACGCACACGACGAATTCAGCATTATAGTTCACTTATTACGTATATGAGTTTTCTTTTGTTTTAAAATACACATATTGTTGTTGTTTTTGTCGAGAATGTTCAATTAGCGTGTTTTTAAGCTACGTTTGCGTAGGGGCTACCTTACCGAAAACGAAACAATTAGCATAGCAGCAAAAAAATATATACGAAGCATTATCCGTGTTTGTTTTTCTGTTTAAGATCACATTATTTACAATGAAGAGAGGAGCTACCTTTGTGGGGGAAATGTGAGGGGGAGACGTCTGGTCTCGCTATCCGGCTGAGAAGGCTTCTCCTGGGGACCAGCCTCCCGTGCAGAGTCGCTTCCACCCGGGGCGGCGGGTCTGGAGCACCGGGACGACGGAGGAGCAGGTCCGGCTGTTCGTCTCCCAGCTGAAGCGGATCCTGCTAAAATAAAATAAAAAAACAGCTGAAGCTGCTAAAAACAGCTGAAGCTGATCGTGCTACAAACAGTGGGCGGCAGACGGAAGCTGATGTTGAACCAGCTGCTCTGCTCAGATACTGTAAACCATAATGTCGATCACTGATCACAAACTGATCATGGGCTTATACATTGCAGGTTATTATCAGATCATCTCTCAATGGTGCTTTTATTAACGCATTCTGATAAAGTTGTCTGCATCAACAAATTAACTCGAAACTGACAAAAAGTAATAACATCGATGATCAAACTAAAAGTCAACCAATGAAAATCAGTAATTGCGTTTTAATTTAGGCAACTTATTAAATTACTGAAATTGATTTTACATGAAAATGATGGTACCTTACAATTAATCCTTTTTCGTACAGAGACAGTGACTCAAGTGATTTCTGTAACTCTGAGACTTCTGCACCTGTCCACAGGTGTTCTGTCTCAGGTTTGAAGGGTTCCTTCTCGAGAATGTTTCAACTTCAGAGATGAAAGTTTTACCACAAAATGTTCAACTTATGATGCCAAACATCTATGACCTAGATAAATATTCCAAAACCTTTACAGACAGAAACAGTTTTGACATTCATGTCAATATTTTGTCATCACTGATTGTCACAAATTATTTTTGGCTTTTGTAAAGAAAATGTATGAGGACAACAGGACAAGTTAGACTGGTACAGGACATGTATGAGGACAGCAGGACATGTATGAGGACAGTGGTGAGATGTGTTGACAGATAGCTTCAAGGTGGAGGTGGGAGTGCACCAAGGATCAGCTCTGAGCCCCTTCTTGTTTGCTCTGGTGATGAACTGACTAACTGATGAGGACAGGCAGGACTACCCATGAACTATGAAGTTTGCAGGTGACATTGTGATTTCTGGTGAGAACAGAGAACAGGTGGAAGAGAACTTGGAGAGGTGGAGGTATGCACTTGAAAGAAGAGTCATGAAAGTCAGTACTCCCTCATGAGGAAGAAACCTTTAGCAGAACCAAGCTCAGGACAAGTGGTCATCTGTTCCACTCAAACGCAGCCAGCTGTGGACAGGAAGGAGGAACAGATACACAATGGCAGGTCAAGAATCACATTGAGATAGAAATAGTATTTAAAAAACTATTCAATTTTAATAATTAATTTAAGGAAATTAGGTCAGTTTGTCCTCCAGTAGTCTAAGCTTAAGGCAGCATAACAAACCAACTCTAATTATAGGATTAATCAAAAACAGTCCAAATATAAATCAGGTTGCCCAGTTCTTAAAACTGGACAATGTTTCAGCCTCATGGACAGAAACTGGAAGTTGGATCCACAAGAGAGGAGCCTGATAACTGAAAGATCTGCCTACCATTCTGCTTTTGAAAACTATAGGAACCGCAAGTAAACCTGCAGTCTGAGAGCAAAGTGCTTTGTTAGGAAAATATGGAACAATAAGATCTGTAATATAATATGGAGCTAGGTTGTTGAGAGTTTTGTAGGTTAGAAGTAAGATTTTGAATTAAATTTTGGATTAGACAGGGCATTGGAGAGAAGCTAAAACTGGAGAGATATGATCTCTCCTACTAGCTCCAGTTAAGACTCTGGCAGCAGCATTTTGGATCAACTGAAGACGTTTTAAAGAAGTATTTGGACACCCAGATAATAAACCATTGCAATAGTCCAGTCTAGATGTAACATGCATGGACCAGTTTTTCTGCACCATTTTTAGATAAGATGTTTCTAATTTTAGTGATATTACGCAGGTGGAAGAAGGCAGTTCTAGTAACGTTTTTAATGTGGGGGATAAAAGACATGTCCTGATCAAAAATAACACCAAGATTTTCAACATTAGAGCTGGAGGACAGATTAATGCCATCTAAGGAGGGTGAAAGACTGAAAAATTCATTCCTAAGGTGCTCAGGTCCAAAAACCAAAACCTCAGTCTTGTCTGTGTTCAAATGGAGAAAATTAAGGGTCATCCATGTTTCTATGTTTTTAAGACATGCAGTCTACGTAACTAATTGGAATCATTGGGTTTCATGGACAAATAACTGTGTATCATCAGCATAATGATGAAAATTTATTCGATGCTGTTTAATAACGTCACCTAATGGAAGCATATATAAGGTAAAGCGTATTGGGCCAAGCACTGAACCCTGAGGAATTCCATGACTAAGTTTGGTGTATGATGAAGATCCATTATTTACATTTACAAATTGGAATCTATCAGATAAATAAACTAATTTAGAGACGTTCATGTAATCCCAATATCATATTCAAGCCTCTGTAGTAAAATATTGTGATCAACTGTATCAAATGCAGCACTGAGGTCTAACAGGACCAGTAGACACCTGTCCATTGTCTGAGGCCATGGGAATATCATTAGTGACTTTAACCAGTGCAGTTTCAGTGCTATGGTGAGCTCTAACCCCTGACTGAAACTCTTCACACAGATTATTTCTTGGCAGATAATCATGTAATTGACCAGCAGCTAACCTCTAGAATTTTTTAGATGAAAGTTAAATTAGATTTAGGTCTATAGTTTTTTTCATTCATTCATTCAACATTTATTTAGACAGGTAAATCCCATTGAGACTTGAGGACTCATTTACAAGAGAGACCTGATTTCAACAAAGAATGATGACAACAATGGCCAACAGCGACAACAATAAACAGTTATAAAAAGGCATACAGTTTTTTTTAATTAAATTTTTACAAATAAGATGGCAAAAAAAGTGACCAAAAAACAGCTAGAATCTAAGGTGAATCTAGAAAACTGAAAACAGGAACATGTCAGCATTGGTCCCTGCCAGGAGTCCAACAGATTCTTAAAGCCACTTAGAGAGGTCAAGGTTGAGAGCTTCAGATCTTTGTGTAAGATATTCCAGGAAACAGGAGCGGAGTAGGAGAAGGTCCTCTTGCCTACTTCAATCCTCACCGAGGGAACACTGCACGTAATAATGTCCTGAGAGCGCACGCTGTAACTGCACTCACGCAGAGACATGTGGGAGGTGATGTATGCAGGCAGAAGACCAAGAAGTGATATAAAGATGAAAATGTACCAGTGAGAGAGTCTGCGTGAGGTTAACCAGTGAATACAGGGTGCAGTGGTGGGTACGATAATCACAGCCAGTTATGGATCTTAGTGCACCATGATAGACAACATCCAACATCTGCAGGGTTCTATAGGTCTATAGTTGGCTAGGCTTCCTGACTCAAGGTTATGTTTCTTAAGTAAAGGTTTAATTACAGCAATCTTAAAGCTCTGTGGTACGTAACCGTTTATTAGACCAATTAAGCAGATCCAAGACGTGATTATTAATTAAGGGAAATGCGTCTTAGATAGCCTGGTTGGGATGGGATCTAGCAGACATGTGGATGGTTTGGATGAAGCTATTATTTTGGACAATTCAGAGAGTTCAACAGGACAAAAACAGTCCAAACATAAATCAAGTTCTAGTGACATTTTTAAAGTTGACACAGAACCAGAGGCGGTACTAGGAAAGTTGTTTTGAAATTTTTCCCTAATTGAAAGAATTTTATTTATAAAGAATCTCATGAATTCATCACTGCTTATTGTAGGGATACATGAATCAATAGAGATAGGATTTTTCATTAGACTAGCTATAGCACTGAAAAGGGACCTGGGGAAATTTTTTTCTCTTCAATTAAAGATCCATCCATTATCTTTACCCGTTTATTCCATTTTGGGTCACGGGGGTCGCTGGTGCCCATGTCCAGCAATCACTGTGCGAGGGGCGGGGTACATCCTGGACAGGTCGCAAGTCCATCACAGGGCCACATAGAGACAAACGAGACAAACAACCATTCACTCTCTCACTCACACCTAGGGACAATTTTAGAGTTACCAATCAGCCTAACATGCATGTTTCTGGACTGTGGGAGGAAACCGGAGCACCCGGAGAAAACCCACGCATGCACGGAGAGAACATGCAAACTCCACCCAGAAAGGCCCCTGGACCGGGGTTTGAACCAGGGACCTGCTCGCTGAGAGGCAGCAGCTCTACCAGTTGCGCCACCGTGCTGCCCTCAATTAAAGATGAATAATATAAAGTTCTAGATTTATGGAGTGCTTTTTTATACGTTAGCAGGCTATCTCTCCAAGATAAGTAAAATTCTTCAACGTTAGTGGAGCGCCATTTTCTTTCCAGCTTTCTAGATGCCTGTTTTAAAGTATGTAACTCAGAATTTAACCAAGAAGCCAATCTCTTCTGACTGATTTTCTTTTCAACGGAGCGGCTTTATTGAGTGAGGTTTGCGTTGAAGTTGTAAAATTATCAACCAGATGATCTAAGTCACTGTTCTCTGACATATTACTCTGCAAGACAGAGGAAAACAATGGAAGAGAACCTTTAAATTTCATCAGAGTTACAGCACAGGTGAACAACTGGGAGATAAATGTTAGAGAGGCCAAACTGCGATGGTTTGGACACGTCCAGAGGAGGGACAGTGGGTATATTGGTACAAGGATGTTAGAAATGCAGCTGCCAGGAAAAAGACAAAGAGGAGATATATGGATGCAGTTAGAGAGGACATGGAGGTAGTTGGAGTGAGGACAGAGGATGCAGAGGACAGAGATGGAGGAGGATGACTTGCTGTGGAGACTCCTGAAGAGGGAACTAGCTGGAAGAAGAAGACAGATTTTAAGCAGAAGTTGCTTGGCACCTTTAAAAAAATCACAAGTTTCCTAGTTTTTGTTGATGTGATTAAAATAGAATACAAATTTATTCAGCATTTAAACACAGGTAAGACCAAAGTATGTGCATGTGTTTTATATATATATATAAAACACATGCAGAGAAAATGACTAAATTTAAACTACTCAAGTATAAAAGCTTAGAAGAAATTATAAATCTATTAAGCTCCTCTTTCTGCCTCTTTATATATATATATATTTTTTTTTTAAATATATATACATATATATAAATATATATACAGTATATGTATGTAAACTGGGCCAAACCATTTCAAGCCTCATAAACCATCAAAATAAAGTTGCTCTTGTAAGGTAGCAGTCCCCAAACATTTAGCATCTGGGACTAATTTCATACAAAACAACTTCCTCATGGACAGGAGTTCAAGTGGGTTTATTTAGTTTTTATCAGTTTTGCTCAGATTAGTGTGTAGGTTTGATTGGACATGAAAGAAAACTGCGACTGAGTCAAGTGAAGGAAAGAGGCATGAGTGGAAACGGTCTTTAAAAATATGCGCTATCGTTTATTGCTATTATTGTATTATTATTGTCGCTCATCGACAAGCTATTAGACAGAACTCTTTCATGGACAAGCAAAGACCTTTACAACATTTGACCGCCCAGCGACGACGCTTACGTGTACGAAGTTTCATTAAATTATCTTGAATGTATCGTGAGTTATGGGTGGGACAAAAGGTTTACAGATGTATGGAGACTACGTCCCACCTTTATAATAACTGTCCTACATGCAGATGCATATAAAAGTAGACTTTTAACAGAAACGTTTATATTTGTTCTGTGAAGTTTGGTACCAAATCATCCATGACCCGGAGTTAGACACCCCCGCTGCCACAAACATTCAGTGAACAGAGTAAGACCAACACTGGTGCCAAAAACAAGAAAAAATGAAGATGTGCCCAACTTTTTCTAAATGTCTGGTCATTGGCCTTGAATAAAAGTTTCACCTGAAAGAAGCGTTTTAACAACCGAGGTGCCGTTTGGTTTAATTTACAGGAACTGTCGCAGAAGATTGATACTAATGTTCTCCATCGGAAACATGACCAAAACAACCAGAAATCAAAAAGAGTGAAAACAAAGAGTTTATTGACACGTCCAAACAATCAAGGCACAAGCGGCAGGACGGCTAATGTGATCAATATAGAAATGATCAAAACATATACGATTTCTAGTCAATTTACAGCAAAGCTAACGTTTTCGTACACAGCTGATTACTAAAGACAAAAAACAAAAATCAGAGGTTGGTAAAAGAACCCTGGATAATTGGCAAACAGCAAAATATATCACAGTTCCATTTACATCATTTGGGCATTGTTGCAAAAGTGTTCTTCAATAACCATTTTAAAGACCAGAGGGGGGGCTAGATGATCAAGAAGCAATACGGGGGTTGGAGTTTGCACTTTTAGGAAAAATATCTAAATGCACATTTAAATTTTATCATCTTTGCTGGTAAAACTTTGAGATCCATTGTGAATGTAAAGTGCATTATAAATAAACGTTATTATTATGATTAAAACAGTCCATGCTCAATAATCCAAGTACAATCCAACAATTTTCGGTCAGGTCATCTGGACAGTTTCTTTTTTTGTTGTTGAAACGTTTCACCTTCCATCCAGAAGGCTTCATCAGTCAAGGAAACACACAACACAAAACTGATTCTTCCCCCAAACAGCTTCCTCCAAAGTGGAACAAACCAGTTATGTTGGTGCTAAGATGGTGTCTTTGGC